TTAAATGCTTACAAAATGGATGCTTTAAATTTTCCCTTGGGACTAAACACAGTGACATCTAATAACTGCTGTAAATTTACTAAAACTCCCACACACATCGTGGAGTGCGTAGGAAATAGTTTATTAAAATACGAGTTTGAAGGCAATCATTAGTGGCTTTCATATATTTTTTAATAACCATAAACAAACGGGATAATAAAATGAAATACATTGAGCAAGTATTGGATGAGAACAACATATACCTACATGACCGTTCTTTAGGCTTTCGAACAGTGCGTTCGCACCGTAGAAGTGTCTGCAGTCTTAGCATCCGAGATTTCTAGACATATGCAGGGGTATTTTTCCGTGTTAGCCCATTGTAGAAACAGCTTACATTATTTATATATTTATTACCACAGACAAACTTTGACTTGTGAAAATATATAACTTCAATGGTTCACAGTTGTAAAAAAAAAAAAAAAACTATTTACATAGCAATTGTAGCACTGTTGCACTAATATAGATTCATATATTTGTAAATGCAATGCTGTAAAACTATAATAATATGTTGGATTCGTGAATGTTAATACAGTGGCATCTCGGTATGCGTGTGCTTTAGCATACGTCCAACTTGGTATACGTCCTGTTTAGACATCCTTAGTTGATACACGACTAGCGTGTTCAATCTTGTCAAAATGAGACACCACAGGCACGCTACCCTTGTTTACCTGTCTCATCAATAAAAGAAATATTTGCCAAATGGATGCATCTCAAAAACTTTCCTGAGAAGTACCAATGCAACAAAGCCTAAACAAGGTACAATATCACTGTCAGGAATGACCAGACAATATCACATTTCATAAAGATTAAAAGGAGAAGGCAGAAGCAAAGTTTATAGACAGATTTTTACTAAAAGTAAATAATGGATGAATATCAATAACTTTTCAGAGAGGAACCACCCCAGTATAGTCCAACCACACTGTAACTACATTCAAAACATCCTGAAGGGAAGGCAGAAGCCAAGTTCCTAGACCGATTTTTTTCTAAAAGTAAATAATGGATGAAAATTAGTAACTTTGCAATGAGGTACCACCCCAGTAAAGGCCAACCACACCGTAATAGTTTACAAAACATCCTGAAGGGAAAGCAGAATCATGTTTCTTGGACAAAACATCCTGAAGGGAAAGCAGAAAGCGTGTTTCTTGGACAGAACATCCTGAAGGGAAAGCAGAAGCGTGTTTCTTGGACAAAACATCCTGAAGGGAAAGCAGAAGCGTGTTTCTTGGACAAAACATCCTGAAGGGAAAGCAGAAGCATGTTTCTTGGACAGAACATCCTGAAGGGAAAGCAAAAGCATGTTTCTTGGACAAAACATCCTGAAGGGAAAGCAGAAGCGTGTTTCTTGGACAAAACATCCTGAAGGGAAAGCAGAAGCATGTTTCTTGGACAGAACATCCTGAAGGGAAAGCAGAAGCATGTTTCTTGGACAGAACATCCTGAAGGGAAAGCAGAAGCGTGTTTCTTGGACAAAACATCCTGAAGGGAAAGCAGAAGCATGTTTCTTGGACAAAACATCAAATCTGGTGAGAATCAGCCAGCTATTCCTGAATATTTATTGGAAATGACTCTTCTTCCAAACAATAGCATCTCTTCCTGCTCCCTTCCCAGCACCCTCCTAGTAGGCACTTGGCTCTTCCCAGCACCCTCCTAGTAGGCACTTGGCTCTTCCCAGCACCCTCCTAGTAGGCACTTAGCTCTTCCCAGCACCCTCCCAATAGGGCCTTGGCTCTTCTCAGGATGGTTGAGGTTACTTGTTCTATGAATGTCTAATAAGCAAGTAACAACAACAGTTTTTTTTCATGGCAACGGATTAATCATTCTCCTCTTTCTTTTTATTTGAACATTCGTTCAGTATACGTCAAGTTTAGTACAAGTAGAAGGATCCGGAACGGATTAAGGACATTATATCAAGTTATCACTGACTTTAAATTATGCAGCACGAGCCTATGTGAGTTCATGTAACTTTGAGGAACATCTAGATGATCTCGTGTTTGTGAATGAAACATTATTACATCAATAAAGAATTGACTACTGCGATTAAAATAGTGTTTAATGGATGGCGTGGTTATGTCTATAATGTTATGACAATAGTAGAGAGTATAAAGGCTATGTCTATAGTTTTGTAACAATATTATATTATATATATATTATATATATTATATATATTATATATTATATTATGACAATAGTATAAAGTGTAGAGGTTATGTTTATAATATTGTGACAATAGTATAGATCATAGAGGTTATGTCTATAATATTGTGACAATAGATACAGTATAGAGGTTTTGTCTATAATATTGTGACAATATTATAGAGTATAGAGGGTATGTCTGTAATTTGAGACAGTAATATAGTATTATGTGATTATGGCTGTGAGGTAGAGACAATAATATAGTAGATTGTGGCTACAACTGTAAAACTGAGACAATAGTCTAAGATCATATTGGAAAATAGTATAACATTATGTAGTTAGACCTACAATATTGAGACACTAGATTAATAAACCGTTGTCATTGTGCTATTGAGACAGTATATGACATATGATTAGAGTACTAAGAGTATATTTTAGTATTAAGTGTATGTAATTCTAAAACCCTTATCCATAACAAGGCAGTGGCATCCATGAAGAGCTGTGCCACCAGCCAATCTTCTTTTCGACGCCTGGTGGTAGAAAAGAAAGAGGATGAGGATGGTGGTTGTGTTGATAATGACGATGATGATGACGACGACAACTATAACGATGAACATTAACACAAAACTCTTAGACACTGTCCATAAATTAAAGCGGCCAGCACAGACTATCAATTGTTGAGATGATTCAACCTGTATACAAGCAACAGACAAGTGGATGCACACTCCATCACCAGCCATCTCCAAAGCTATCTGATACGAAGACTTTTCCAGACACAATTATCAAAATTAAAAAACTCTGCCTTAATCGAAATAGCAACATACACAGAAAGACCCTCGCAGTTGGGAAATTATAAATTAACTTTGGTACCAAGTGCATTGAAAAAGAGATCAACAATGCCAGGTTGAAATAATGTAGAAACAAATTTTAAAAAATGACGATGATGATGAATATTGAAAAGTTACGATGTAGTCTAGTGTATGTACATCATACTGAGATATTAACATATAATTAAGTTAATGTATTTGTAACATTCAGATACTATTACAGTTTCCAGCATATATGAAATAATATTGAACCATCATTAATCATCCATATGGCTAGTGTCACTGCTACATTTTCAATTGTATAAATGAGTTTCCTTTTTGCTGGATCCGAGAAACATATTTAAGTAGTCTATGATATCAATTACAATTTTAAAGTTTGAAAAAAAAAAAAAAAAAAAAAGTCAACATTAGATTGCTATCATTCTTCCCATTTTAATTTTTAGAAATTATAATTTCTTCACTAAGACTAATAAAATGTAAGGACCTCATGACGGACCTTGGAAAATTAGCTAATTGGGAACTGTATGTGTAGATTATAGTTTGAACTGAATGAACTTTGTCGCAAAAAATAAACTATATCCAATAATAAACCCGAGGTGATACTATTGAATTATGTGTAAATATAACATTACCGCTCCCTCACTATACAGTTAGCGATACATTGCATATTGAAGAAGTGCTGGTAAAACCATTGAAACTTTTATGATTAATGAAGCTGATTTTGAGAGGTTTCAGCGTGAACAAATAACACGTTCTTGAAACGACTACTCCAGGTGACAAGAGCTGAGGGGTGAAGATCACCATTCTAGTTGTTGGTTTGAGTTTTCACACCAGTACATATGCATCAGATCTGCGAATGCACAAATAAATGCTGCAGTAAATGTATAAACACAGTTTTCAGTGCTATTAGACACAAATTCATAAACATACAGTGGCTGAAAATAAAAAAAAAAATAAAAAAAACACGACCTTCCATTTATGTACATAATGGGTTCTTCATTGTTAGAGTTTGTGTCTTTCTAAACTTTCCAGCATCGATGGTTGCGTAGTTTGCATGTACTTCGTCAACACATCTGCTTCTACTGATGTCGTGCGTATTTTTCCGTCTTCCTCCTGCACCATCTCCTTCTCCCGCTTCTTCCTCTTGTCTCCTCCTCCTCTTCTTCTTTTGCCTCCTCCTCCTTCTAGCTATGCGTTTTCGTCTTTCTCTCCTCCTCCTTCATAACTTCTTCTTCTTCTTCTTCTTCTTCTTCTTCTTCTTCTTCTTCTTCTTCTTCTTCTTCTTCTTCTTCTTCTTCTTCTTCTTCTTCTTCTTCTTCTTCTTCTTCTTCTTCTTCTTCTTCTTCTTCTTCTTCTTCTTCTTCTTCTTCTTCTTCTTCTTCTTCTTCTTCTTATCATCGTCATCATTAACATCATCAACGTCCTCATCAACCTCTTCCTCCTTTTTATCCGTCTTCTTCTACTGCTGCTGTTGCTGGTATTTTTTATTTTCTCATGCTCCTCTTATCTATGATTGCTGTTACTGTATTAATCCTGACCATTGACATAAAGACCAACATTACTAATGTTACTGCATCCATCCTAACCATGACATAAAGCCCAACTTTACTGATGTTACTGCATTCATCCTGACCATCGACATAAAGCCCAACATTACTGATGTTACTGACATTGGTACCAGCACACGGAGAGTACACAAAACAGAACCTTGATATATCTAGGACTTGGTGGAAAACAAAAACAAGTTTTATGTTTGTTCGTGCAGTGCAACTTTTGTCTACTACAAAGACATATTCATTAGTGATATAGACATTCTCTAATTCTACAATGACTTAGTAACCTCCCACATCTGTTACCCTTACACTTGGTTGACCTAGTCACAATTATAACCAAAAGCTCCCCCCCCCCCTTGTAGGAATGCTGGTTGAGCGTGGCGATTGTTTTCTAAGTAAGCTTAAGTGGTCGTAATAATGCGGACTACCTGGGTTTGCAATAGCTTGGCTACTGAGCTGGCATAGGATTGAAAGTTGCTGCTGGCGCTGTTGCTTGACTCTGTACAATCTGCCGCTCTGCTCCTTTATCTCTTGAGTGGTGGCGATGATGGTGATGATGATGATGATGGTGCTGACTGTGATGATTGTTCCTCCCTTCAACGGCCAAGTCAACTGCCGAGAAAAGGAATAAGTATACATCTCGCAGCGGAACACCGACAGGATCCGCTAATTTCGTATATAATCAAAATTTGCAACAGGTACAACCTCTCTCTCTCTCTCTCTCTCTCTCTCTCTCTCTTCTCTCTCTCTCTCTTCTCTCTCTCTCTATCTCTCGTTCTCTCTCTCTTCGAGAGAGAGAGAGAGAGAGAGAGAGAGAGAGAGAGAAATTCAGAAAAAGAGAGGAAGAAACAAAAAGGGATAGGAGAAGGAGGGAGAAAGAAGGAAAGAGATAGTAATATAGAGATAAGGGGAGATTTATGAAAAGGAGAGAGAGATAAAGAATGACTGAAAGAGAGAGAGTGCGTGTGTGTGTGTGAGAGAGAGAGAGAGAGAGAGAGAGAGAGAGAGAGAGAGAGAGAGAGAGAAAGAGAGAGAAGTGAGGGAGAGAAATTGAGAAAATCTAACACTCAGGACAGCCTGTCTGAGTTATTCGGCTGTCGAAATTCCAAGCCCCTTAAAAGTATCTCTAAATAAAACATGACCCGAATGAAGCAGTCGGATAACTCGTGAACTTTATAGCCGAAGACTTCATTTATAGGAGTTTAGTTTTGTTAAGAGCTAGTAACTAAATATTAAGATGGGCACTCAGAATATTCCCATAAGCCCTCTCTCAACATCTTCAGCAGCCAGTGTAGCGTTCCAAATTGATTGTACCAGTAGATTTTCTCGTTGTACATCGTCTTGTTTTTATCGGAGTGTAGAGTGTCGGCAAGATGCCCTGCTAATTCCCTGCTGCCCGATTATCTTCACACCACAATGGTCTGTTGGCACTTTCGCCTTGTTCACTTACTCACAAAGAGGTCTTGATAAATGTAGCTTGTCGAGCATCAATTAACCATCACGTGATGCAGAAACAGCCAGTCTTGCAGTGTATTCATTTCCCATTACACATGGAGGCAATCGAAATAACACTAGTTACCTGGTTCACAAGCCTGGGTAAGCTGCCGTGACTCTCTTCACCTCCATTTTCAGTCTTGCCTTTGTATTATCATTTACTGCGCTTTGCTGCACTGAGGGTCGTCCATTCGCTTTTTCAATAATCTCCAACACATTTCTGTCTCTAAAATCAAAACTATCTGGAAAGATGATCAAATAGCCCCTAACTGTTATCAATCATTTATTGAATTTGTTATTCTGCTGTGCCCGCTGGTCAATCTCTGCACATCCTGCTCAATTTAATTAGAATATAATACAATTCTGATGTTTACTCTGATAGCTTGACCCAGTTCTCTTCTCACACAATTGTTGCATGCATACGTCTCTGTAATTTTTTCATTTGTTTGCGTCATCCAAGATTATCTTCTTCTTTTTAGTCAGTGGTGCTTAGCAGAATCTTGGGTTGCACAAAGAAGGTTTGTTTTTTAACTGCTACTCCTCTGAGGTATGACCTTGCTTACAGCACTTTTGGACTGTTTATAATAGCCCGCACTGCGAAGACATCTTGCGTACATACAACATCCCAGAATTACCAGAATGGTTTTATTCTTTATGCAATCAAGTCTCACCAGCTGACTCTTTGATACGTTAAGTAGTCCCAGTCCACACTCCAGCATCTAAATTATCGAGTGCTGGCACACTGTAAACGTCAGTCTCCGATCTTTGTTTATTACTGCCACGAAGCATCTTTTAGTATTTTGCCTCCAAGCGGTATTTTGAAGAATTGTTTCCATCGAAACAGTTGGCTTTCTCTATTTTATGTTTCTATAATTAAAGGCTTATCCAATTGTTTAAAGCATCTGAAAACAGTACGGTTTTCCGGGGTCAGTCCATTTTGTGCCCCTACTGCTGACTGTCTCAAAAATCGGGTTGGTAGCCCTGATGTATTGCAAAGCTCCACTCTCATTCTAGTTCGCCCCTCATCATTTATATAGACCACTTCAGCATCCACTAAAGCTTCTGCCAGGGCAATGATACCCCCTCCCCCACCCTACAGCAGCGTATAAATTCACTAAATTCAAATTATGCCCTGAATATCTATCTATATACCCTGTCCATCTCTTACACTGGGATTCCCTTAGCCTAATACACGACCTACTCCTTTTTACAACAGCAGACCTTGCCCATGTAAGGCTGTCCAGAAGGATTTGTGTAACGGATATATTCAGAGTACTTATGTTTATCTCATTTCAATTCTTGTCCCTTCATTTCAGTGGTTCTCAATCTTCTTTATGCCGCGACACTTTAATACACTTCCTCATGTTGTGATGTCCCCAAGCCATCAATTATTTTCGTTGCTACTTTATAAGATAACTTCAATGAATATGTGTTTTTCGATGGCCCTAGGTGACCCCTGTGAAAGTGTCGTTCGATACCCCATAGGAGTCACGATCCACAGGTTGATAACCTCTGGTTTATTTGAATGTATTGAAAAACAGATGTGGGAAAAATGTGGAACTTATAGTTGTTTTTGTTAGTTGTTGCTGGCACCCTTGTGAGGCGTTGCTTACGCGCTTTGTAATGCCGAGGTGCCGGGTTTGATCCCAGCTGTGGGCCTTGCGCCTTGCATTGGTTTCGACAGTGGTATCGAGAAGCCGACCGTCCAGTAAGCAATGGCAAATTACTGGACGTAAATTTGCCTAGAAAAACCACAACAGCCAAAATTGCTGGGGTTGATTCTGCAACGTCCTGTAAAGGATACGCAAGTAACTGTTGGCACCTTACCATCGCTCCAGGAAGCAATGTTATATTGTGCAGTAGGAATCAACACCCAAAGCGTATAGCTTGTTATGCAAATTTCCAGTGTTTTAACATGTCTATATTAAAATAGATTGAAAAATGGAAAGACATAAGTAATGGTAAATTCCAAGAAAAAAACAGTGCCTAAATGTATAATAAAAGTCAAAAGCGTTAATTTCAGACATGTAAAAAAATTGTAAGTATCCAGGCACATGGATAACATATTTGGAAAATGTATCACAGAGATAAAGAACAGAATAGGATAAGCCCAAACTGCATTTGATCAAAGGAAGAACATTTTATGCAATAAATCCATGTCTGTGGAGGTTAGGAAAATAATTCGCACATGCTTTAATACACAGCTTTAAATCCTGATTAATCAACAAGCCGAACACTATCTTGAGGCCTCAGAGATGTTGTTTTACAGAAGAATCTTTAGAATTTTTTGAACAGCTAAGAAGCGGAACCCAGATATTTTGAAAGAAGCGAGTGCTCGGAGACGACTTATCACAAACATCAGAAAGAGAATGTCTTTTGGTCATGAGAAGAAGGAAAATGGAACATGTTGAAAGATCTGTGGAAAGAGAGACAGAGGAAGACAGAGGTCAACACACTAACTGATACATGCAGCTTCGGATTGCAGATTGTGGAGAGACGTGATCACCCAGGCCAGTCAGCAAGGCACTTGTTTAAGCTGATGTTAAAATAAAACAACGAAATGCATATTGAAATAGAATATTGCAGAAAATAATACAATTAAGCCAGTCACATTGACAAAACGGAGCGCTATTTCAGAAACAGAGAATTTTACAAAATGGTTGCCCATACTAATTAGCGGATTTTCTAGAAAGAAAAACATTAAACATAAAACAGCCAGATTGGTTCATGGTATATCAACTGCTAGACTCCAGACACACGACTGACAGTGGCTGGAACATGGGGATAATCTATATTTAAAAAAAAAAAGAGTTTGTTACGGTTCGTTTTGCAGTCGATATTAAAAAGCTTCATTTGTTGATGCAAATAGGGCATTTAGCACTTTGACGAGATACAGCTGAAATACAACGGGCAAAAAGTTTACCAATACAGTCTTTTGCCCTACGTTCTAAAATAATACGTTTTGAGTGTTTTTCTATCAGCCAATTAAGAATACCTTATTGCGTCCACATTTAAGTTAAGTTAGTCAACAGAGACATCTTGACATGCCATTGGCACATCGGTCACCAATGTTGGACGAAATTTTGCATAGACTAATTGTCATGCTAAGGGCAATTTAGTCAACATCCCCCGGCCACAAAACTCTCCATTACATTTTCTCACACATAATTTTGGGTAGGTCGAACTGGGAACCTTGGTGAGTCATAAAGATCTCGTCAACTCAGATGGAACCCATGACCTTCTTGGAGTCAGATAAGCGTCAAACCGCTAGGCTGCCACGGCTTCTGTGCCACTTTGTAAGTATATATGTTCCCACTGACCTAATCTGGCGTCCATGGAACTGGCCGCCACCATCCAACGATTTCGCATGACCTGATGAATGTCCGGACGTTGCTGGAAGTCGTTGGTGAACAGCTTCAGGACCAGACTCTTCTCGTCAGAGGTCACCTGTGGGAGGGACATTCCTTATGAAAAAATGGTCTTCAACAAGTCTAGTAAAGTACAAGCAGAGTAAAGAGTTATGTTTACACCTTAGGGCTTAATGAATAAACAGTCATGAATAAAATCTTCCCCTTCTTCACATTGTTAATTGATGTAAACTCTGGATGAAAGCTCTGGATATTTGTTCACCCATCGACTTTGATCTTGTTCCAGAACTTGAGATTTGCGTGCCAATCGTTTTACAGATACGGCTTATGTATGCAGCTGGCTCGCCTTTCACACAGATACGGCTTATGTATGCAGCTGGCTCGCCTTTCACACAGATACGGCTTATGTATGCAGCTGGCTCGCCTTTCACACAGATACGGCTTATGTATGCAGCTGGCTCGCCTTTCACACAGATACGGCTTATGTATGCAGCTGGCTCGCCTTTCACACAGATACGGCTTATGTATGCAGCTGGCTCGCCTTTCACACAGATACGGCTTATGTATGCAGCTGGCTCGCCTTTCACACAGATACGGCTTATGTATGCAGCTGGCTCGCCTTTCACCACAGATACGGCTTATGTATGCAGCTGGCTCGCCTTTCACACAGATACGGCTTATGTATGCAGCTGGCTCGCCTTTCACACAGATACGGCTTATGTATGCAGCTGGCTCGCCTTTCACACAGATACGGCTTATGTATGCAGCTGGCTCGCCTTTCACACAGATACGGCTTATGTATGCAGCTGGCTCGCCTTTCACACAGATACGGCTTATGTATGCAGCTGGCTCGCCTTTCACACAGATACGGCTTATGTATGCAGCTGGCTCGCCTTTCACACAGATACGGCTTATGTATGCAGCTGGCTCGCCTTTCACACAGATACAATCTGACTTTAACGGAAAAGAAAATCTTTAACTAGTCGCCTTGTTAGTTAGTCTGTGGGTCCACTGTTCCCCTAATCCATCCCCCACATGGGGATCCTGAACCCACATAGGGAATTAGTAAAGTAACGACCCTTTTATGCTGTTAGCACTTCTGATACACCGGACTAGAACTATGCTTTTGTTTGCTATCACCATGGTAATCTTGATGTGGTGGGCGACATTACACCAGAGACATTTCCTTGTCAAGACATTTCCCGGTTCCCACTTTAGGTTGGGTCGACAAGGAAGCGCTGTGCAATGAAAAGTAAATTCGTCCTTTAATGGGAATTTGAGCCGATGACAACAGGGACGGCTGGCAATCGTGATAACCACTTTCTCGACATGGCTTAAAGTAGGATTAAAATAAAATAACTTGTCTTAGCTGACGACCACTTTCAGTGCCTGGCTTCTGCTGGCATTAAAATAAAAAATAAAAAAAACTTGTATAAGATGATAACAGCTTTCTCTACATGGCTTCAGGTGATTGAATATATATATATATATTTCTTTAGCTAATAACCCTATTCGTTACCTAGTGGTTTAATGTAGTATTGAAACAAATAGCTGTGATTAGCTGACTACCACTTTCTTCACATATCTGGTATTGAAACAAATAGCTGTGATTAGCTGACTACCACTTTCTTCACCTATCTTCAGGTGGTATTGAAACAAATAGCTGTCATTAGCTGACTACCACTTTCTTCACCTATCTTCAGGTGGTATTGAAATAAATAGCTGTCATTAGCTGACATCCACTTTCTTTACCTGGCTTAAGTGGTATTGAAATAAATAGCTGTCATTAGCTGACATCCCACTTTCTTTACCTGGCTTAAGTGGTATTGAAATAAATAGCTGTCATTAGCTGACATCCACTTTCTTTACCTGGCTTAAGTGGTATTGAAACAAATAGCTGTCATTAGCTGACTACCACTTTCTTCACCTATCTTCAGGTGGTATTGAAATAAATAGCTGTCATTAGCTGACATCCCACTTTCTTTACCTGGCTTAAGTGGTATTGAAATAAATAGCTGTCATTAGCTGACATTCACTTTCTTCACCTGGTTTCAGGTGGTGCTGACTTACCTGGCTTCAGGTGGTACTGACATACCTGGCTTCCGGTGGTATTGACATACCTGGCTTAAATGGTATTGACATGCCTGGCTTCATGTGGTATTGACATACCTGGCTTAAATGGTACTGACATGCCTGGCTTCAGGTGGTATTGACATACCTGGCTTCCGGTGGTATTGACATACCTGGCTTCCGATGGTTTGACATACCTGGCTTCATGTGGTATTGACATACCTGGCTTCCGGTGGTATTGACATACCTGGCTTCCGATGGTATTGACATACCTGGCTTCAGGTGGTATTGACATACCTGGCTTCCGGTGGTATTGACATACCTGGCTTAAATAGAATTGACATGCCTGGCTTCAGGTGGTATTGACATACCTGACTTAAATAGTATTGACATACCTGGCTTCAGGTGGTATTGACATACCTGACTTAAATAGTATTGACATGCCTGGCTTCAGGTGGTATTGACATACCTGACTTAAATAGTATTGACATAACTGGCTTCAGGTGGTATTGACATACCTGACTTGAATAGTACTGACATGCCTGGCTTCAGGTGGTATTGACATACCTGGCTTAAATGGTATTGACATGCCTGGCTTCAGGTAGTATTGACATGCCTGGCTTCAGGTGGTATTGACATACCTGGCTTCAGGTGGTATTGACATGCCTGGCTTCAGGTGGTATTGACATACCTGGCTTCAGGTGGTATTGACATACCTGGCTTCAGGTGGTATTGACATACCTGGCTTCAGGTGGTATTGACATACCTGGCTTCAGGTGGTATTGACATGCCTGGCTTCAGGTGGTATTGACATGCCTGGCTTAAATGGTATTGACTTTCCTGGCTTCAGGTGGTATTGACATACCTGGCTTCAGGTGGTATTGACATACCTGGCTTCAGGTGGTATTGACATACCTGGCTTCAGGTGGTATTGACATGCCTGGCTTCAGGTGGTATTGACATACCTGGCTTCAGGTGGTATTGACATGCCTGGCTTCAGGTGGTATTGACATACCTGGCTGCAGGTGGTATTGACATACCTGGCTTCAGGTGGTATTGACATACCTGGCTTCAGGTGGTATTGACATACCTGGCTTCAGGTGGTATTGACATGCCTGGCTTCAGGTGGTATTGACATGCCTGGCTTAAATGGTATTGACTTTCCTGGCTTCAGGTGGTATTGACATACCTGGCTTCAGGTGGTATTGACATACCTGGCTTCGGGTGGTATTGACATACCTAGCTTCAGGTGGTATTGACATTCCTGGCTTAAATGGTATTGACATACCTGGCTTAAATGGTATTGACATGCCTAGCTTCAGGTGGTATTGACATACCTGGCTTCAGGTGGCATTGACATGCCTGGTTTCAGGTGGTATTGACATGCCTGGCTTTAGGTAGTATTGCCATACCTGGCTTCCGGTGGTATTGACATGCCTGGCTTCAGGTGGTATTGACATACCTGGCTTCAGGTGGTATTGACATTACTGGCTTCAGGTGGTATTGACATACCTGGCTTCAGGTGGTATTGACATTACTGGCTTCAGGTGGTATTGACATACCTGGCTTCAGGTGGTATTGACATTCCTGGCTTCAGGTGGTATTTACATGCCTGGCGTCAGGTGGTATTGACATACCTAACAGGTGGTATTGACATTCCTGGCTTAAATGGTATTGACATACCTGGTTTCAGGTGGTATTGACATACCTGGCTTCAGGTGGTATTGACATTCATGGCTTCAGGTGGTATTGACATACCTGGTTTCAGGTGGTATTGACATACCTGGTTTCAGGTGGTATTGACATACCTGGCTTCAGGTGGTATTGACATTCATGGCTTCAGGTAGTATTGACATACCTGGCTTTAGGTAGTATTGAAATAAATAACTGTCATTAGCTGGAAACCACTTTCCATACATGGCTTCAATGAAAAGGAAATAAATAACCGTTTGCTATATGACAACCACTTTCCCTTGTTTTCTTCAGGTGGTATAGACCTAACTGGTTTCTGGTTGTATTGAAAAAAAAGTGTCATTAGCTGACAACCACTTTTCCTACCTGAATTCAGGTGATAATTTAATATATAACTTTCATTAGCCACAAGGTTGGCATGATGGCAATAAGTCAGAAGGATTTACATTCAGGCGTACATACAATGGCAGTAGAACAAATACAGCTCTTAGTTTGGGGAACAAAGTGCAATTTATAAAATGAATTACATCTTATACATCACAGTCATCATATACTAGCACAAAAACTACATTTTATGTATGGCTATGACTCAAGTGCATTTAGAAGTAAAGAAAGAATAAATTAAAATCCTATTACATCTTACAGATGTGGTATAACCAGAAATACTGAATATTCTTTGGAGAGTTTAACCGAAGTAACTAACACACACACAACCTAAAAGAAGGTAAAGCACACAGATAATCTGTAACACACATAAAACAAACATTCAGTCGTCATTAACTAAGCCCCACTTTGTGAAGAGAAAAACTGTGACAACTGTAAATAGCCACGTTAAGAGAGAAAAAGGAAGTCAGCGAGATACGATTTTTAAAAGCCTTATTTATTAGGACGGTAAAGTGTCTGCACACGAACTGATATGTAAACAGATGTTGAGAAGCCAAACTGCACAATCCAGTTGGTAAGGCACATACATGATCATGCTGAATAAACATACTAAACTTCACATGAAAGCATCAACAAAATAATAACCTTTTTATATTTCTGCCAGGGAAATTCCAACCTTTTTTGTTCCTCCAGCACGCCGGTATTACCTCTGCTCTCATCAAATGGCATTTTTCCTGTCACGAAAATGTACAGTATAACTCCAACAGCCCACATGTCGGCTTTCTTTGGGTCGTAAGGTTCGCCTCTCAAAATTTCCGGGGCAGCGTACGACTTGGACCCACAATATGTCTGACTCATAGACTGTAAACAATCTCCTTTGACAAATCCGAAGTCGCAGAGTTTGATGCTAAACGATTTATCCAGCAGAAGATTTTCCAGTTTGAGATCCCGATGTGTTATGTTGAGATCATGTAGATAGCGCACGGCGTCGCAAAGCTGCCAGGTCCACCCTTTAGCTAAGTTCTCAGCCAAGGCGCCCACCTTCTGGATGTAACGCAAGACGTCGCCGTTTTCGGCATACTCAAGAATCATATACACACGGCGTCCATCGTCGAAAGCATCCAGGACTTTGATTATATTAGGATGCCTCAATCCTGGCCAGATATCTAGCTCCCGTGGCAGAAACTTTGTTTGGAAGTCTCTGGGTGCTTTATTTCTGTCAACGATCTTCACGGCCACAAACGCCTTGGATTTAGACAGTGAGAAAGCTAACTTTACCTTGGAGTAACTGCCATTGCCTAATGTTTTCCTGACAAGATAACCGTTTTTGGCCAACACCGCTCGGTAGGTGGGTCTGTAGGTGATCGCTTCTGCCCTCGATTGGTTCGATCTCTTCACTTCTATGGGTTCAACTTCTGCTTGTATTTGCTGCAGCTCTTCTTCGAGCATTCGGAGCCGCCCACCATCGGCATCCATATCAGTCTTTGCTCTCTTTGCAGGCAACATAAATTAGAAAACTTACCAGCCACATTTACCCACAAATGCTCAAACCATACAGAAAGTAGCCAAGCTTTCTTGTCTATTTGCAACAATGAGAACAGCGTGCGCACATAGCAGTCCTAGTCTTTATTCTGGTGCCAATGTAAAATGTGTTGTGAATAAAATGGCCACAATTATGCTTTGTTTCAGTGTACGCAAATGACATCACACGTTGACAGTGACGCTCATCCGGTGTGTGAAAAAGATGTCTTAGGTATTTGTTGGCACTTTTACAAGTAAAGAGAACAAAATTTGATCGGAGGACAACAGACCAAGTAAAAGCAATAAGTAAAAGCCTCCGCGATTGGCAGATTGAAACCGGAACTATGTAGGCAAAAAGAAATGGTCGTTGCCCTACGCTTACCTTGGTGAAACAGTTTGAAATGTACTCGAATTTGTATTTCAGTTTCTAGGATTCAGCTATTTGCTTCATTTTAATTAATTGTTACTGTATTATGCACCTGACGAGATACAGCGAAATATGCCAGACAATAAATTGTGCAGTCTATTGTTTGTGTCTTTTTTGTTCAAATTCACATCGGGGAGACATTGCTTTGATTAAAAGCAATAGTGACTACACCATTATTGGAACCTGTCGCATGATGCGCTAGATATGTTTAGTTGGTCAATTTTAAGTACTTCTTCATATATATATATATATATATATATATATATATAGATATATAATATATATATATATATATATATATATATATATATATATCTATATAATGAACTAGGTGTATCCGGCAATTGCTTTGCTGTGGCCCAATCTTGCTAAATGGAAGAGAAGAAAATAGAAATCGCACGTGTCTAATATGGTTAATTTCACAATCCTTGTCAGAGCCGATATAGAGATAGTCTGGCTTGCAGACTCTAGAACACGCAACATAATAATGTGCCTTTATATTAGTTGTCGTGTAAATTGTATTATTAACCACCCCGGACTAACACACCCCGCCCCCCCCCCCTTCACCCCCACCGCCCAAAAAATGATTGTTTATCACATGCTAAATATTTTAGCCTTCTTTAAACAGCTGAAATCAGTCTGTTACTGGTCCCATTGGAATTTTAACTCTTCGTTTGCTGCTGAAGATGGGAACGGAGCGCTTATGGGAGTGTCCCGAGTGCTGTGATGTCGATTCTTAATTCAACATTCAACATATAAACAGCTGGCAGTAAAGCTTCCTGCTGAACTTCTAAATTACCAACAAAGAACAGAGAAATATGAGAATAGCTGAGGTAGCGTTAAAATATAAGTAATTGAAAAATTAAAACATTAAAATCAAGTTTTAAACTCTCTCACTTAAAGGTTTCTCCCTCAAGCCCCAAATCCACCGACTACTCCTCTCTCCCTCTCCGAATGATTTGAAAGTCATCATCTGACGATATTTTTTTGATTGACCTTGGAATTCTGCTCCACCCAGACTAAGATTGGTAGCCGGAAAATTAATGAAAAGTAAATGCGGCCAGTGTAATATTTACAACATCACCCATCGAGAACCAGTACCACTATAATACCAACAACTAAAAAACTGTCACTACTATCTATCGGTTTTGCCACCTTTTAGGTAGTTGCTGACAGGGGTCGTGAACCTGAGGATACAGAGCCGCATGCTGTTGCCACGAAGTGTTCACGTTAGGATGTTTAATTTTACCACCTACAGAAAAACTCCACCACCTTAACGGGAGGCGAAACCCTGACACCCGCATGACAGCCCGACGTTGTAACCATTCGGCCAACCATAGCAACAACTAGTACTGTTCTGTTGCTACTACCACGGCTGCTACTATGAACAGGGCAAGGGTTACTGTGACTTCCCCAACATGGGCAGTAGTGATGATGTCATCAATGTCAAGTGAGATGCATATCTCGAAGAAGGGGATATAGGAGTGCAGCTTGGAGCAGCCAGACAATAATATTTCATAAAGGACAAGAGTCGAATCATCACAAAAGAGACAATATAGTTGTTTTTGCGCTTGTTAACCTATCGAGGAATAGATCTTAGAACCGTGGATCTTTCCGGAATGCTGTGATGGTTGTCCTCACTAATCACCAATCTGTCATTCTCATATCTTTTCACCCCATACAGTCTATCACGAACACTCGTTTTATACACTTTGAATTCCAACCTGTTTTTATTCCCACATCTTTATGTTTCAATACATTCATTCAACTCTTCGTCCACCTAACGACAACTTTAGCAGCGGAAATAAAAAAAAAAAAAAAACGCTAAACTGAACGTAAAAGAAGACAAAAATCGGATCGTCGGAAAACAAAACCAAGATTTCGATGCCATCTCGCTTGAGCTATGTAGTTTGTGATTTGTGCGACACTCATATAAAAACACCCACGTAGTTGAATGCAACGTTGCGTGAAAATTTGGAAGCAAACGTTAAAGAACTTTAGGAGATTAACGATAAGTAAAAAATGAACAAACATTTATATATATATATAGATAACGTGTGTTGCTTTTAAGTCCAACAAATGGTAGTTCTTCCACCTGGTAGCTTTGTGGATTCCCGTTAATGACAGCGTTAATGACAGCCTGCTGTATTTGATTGTAAGTAGAACAATTCCGGTTTGGTATTTATTACCAAGTCACCTACTTGGGGTAAAGGGTCAAAGTTACGCAGTCTATTTTTAAATCAGAGAATTAGATCATCTAGTGGCTCACTCGGAAAGGTAAAAGCATGGTTTTTACCTGACATAGGTGTGACTTCATATAATAGTAGGTAAATATAAACACACGCGTTTTCGAATACAACGTTGTGTGAACATTTCAAAGCAATTGGTGAAGAACTTTCGGAGATATAAAGATTAGGAACAAGTGATGGCAAAGTCGAGTCCAGGAAAATGTTCTGAAATTATGTGGAGCCAAACACTTAAGTCGCTTCATTCCTGGAATATTGTTGGATAGTTGTTGGAGCTGCGGAGACCGCTTAGACCAATACTATCCACCATCTCAATAATAAATCACTTTAAATTGTCGTGACAAAATCGTCTCGATTATACTCACTGAGCCACAGAGTAAACATGTTTGGTACAGGTGTGCGTCTCCAGCCATGTTACTGCTGTGGTCACTGTCACGACCTCTATAGTAGTCAAGGCGAAGAACAAGAATCCCGCTTCAGAATTGTAACTTGAACCTGACCCCTAAAAGCCAACGAGCTTCTCGCATGACGAACCACAGACTCTTCTGTGTAAATAACAGTACCCCCCCCCCCCCCCCCCCCCCCATTTTCAATAGAATTATAGAAAATCAAGGTCTGCACCTCTTCCTCCACGGCGAGAGACAGACATCTACAAGGACACTCCGTGGAGTTGAAATGGACAAATCCAATACGTTTTAATTTAAGTTAAATATCAAGGGATTACAGCATTAGGGTTAAAAACAAATTCGATGAACTCATGGCAATGCAGGAGAATATGACACCTGATGAGTTGGCCATTGAAGCAAAACACATCTTAACAGCTCAAAATATGATCCCGAAAATAAACAGAAAAAACTACGCCAGAAACAGATTTAGATTACAAAAAAAAAAAAAAAAAAAAAAAAAAAATTTTAAACTAACACACATACATTCAAGCTGACAGAAATGGGAGGAAATTTAAAACAAACAGGGACATAAACAAATAAGGATATACGAAACTACACGAAAGAAATCGAAAAAAAAAAAAAGGCTATCGCAGGAAATAAATAAAAATGTTTATTATGAATACCTGAAATAGAATCGAACCACTCCTGATGCAGAGGAAGAGACAGAGACAAGTTCAAAATTAGAACGCTTTAGAAAGTGACCTTAAAGAGCCACCTTGTCTGTATGAGCAAGACAGGAAAGTCACCAGGTTGCCACTAAATACAAGCAGAACCAATCCAGCCAGGAGGAGAGGCTAGAGTCTGAATATACCAGGCACTGTCAACGAAGATCTGGAACAGATCGCCCTAAAGCAACCGTTCTCAACCTGCCGGTCGCGACCATTTTTGGGGTTGAACTACCCTTTCAAAGGGGTCGCCTAAGACCATTGGAAAACACATATTTATTGAAGTGATGAAGGAAAATAATTGTTTGGGGGTCGCCTCAACATGTATTAATGGGTCGCAGCATTAGGAAGGTTGAGAACCACTTCCCTAAAGCGTGGGGATGGGGAGGGAGGAGGGGCAGTCTATATCTCTCTCTTCAAAAGAAAGGAAGTCTAAAACTATGCTGTAACTACCCTACCATTGCATTAATAAAAGAATTATGACGATTAAAGAGATCACCAATTCGTATATATTCCTCCTTCAATAAAATAAAGGGAATGTCCTTATCATTCTGTGAACTCAGACAATACATTGATTGTCACACTAGAGGTCTGAATTTGTACACTTATTTATTACGAAGGATTTGACGATCAAACATAAACTCATCAATAATGCTCGCGGAAAGTTTGCGTGTATTTATTTGTCACTGAAGATGGTAACGTCAAATAGAAATGTATTTTAATTAAAGCGCCTTCTGCACGCTTCTGTTGTTTTCAATAGGGATTTGAAAATTAAACATAAAGCCCAGAACGAGCGGAGAGGTGATGCCAGGGCTCTCAATCACTTGGAGATTGTAAAAATGTGATCTTTTCAATCTCCATTTTAGAAATAGCGGCCGAGATTATTATCGCCTGTAAGGGGAGACAAGTGGATGGTCTGAAACCTCCTTAAAAGCCTCTCATAATGTGCCCGCTTTTCTCGTGTTGCACTCTCCTTGTAACTTAAGTGATCCTGCTCGATGCGCCCACAGCATCTTCGGTCCGATCTAGCCCCGGGGTGACTTTCCAAGGGCTGCAAATTCCTGCAAGTCCATGCATCTAATGAGGAGGCTGCACTCGTAATCTTTATGAAATAACGACATACCGGGGAAAACTCGTCACAGATCACGCTAGGGGGTATAACGGGCTCTCTCGCGTCTCCCCGGGTTGTCGCATGACTGAT